GCAACAATGTATATATAACAATAGTCTGGATAGTCAAGTTGTTATAGTGCTTGCCCTCAATTCTAAAGGTTGAAGGTTCGATCCCATTTGAAGTTGATTTTGGGTCCATTTACTAGTCGTCATCGATCTATCAGTGATGCCATCCAAGACAAGGTCAACATAGTGTTAAGACCACGGTTTGGATCGTTTCCTTAAAACACGTACAAGATTCCAAGGCCACTAAAACATAAAATACCCCCCCCCCCCGCAGCAAACCTGCAGACTAAGCTAATTTACATTTACCTAATTGGATTTACACTAAAATGTCTCCTTAAAAATATCACATTCATTCCCTATGTAAATAGAATTAGTTTAGCCATTACTTAGGTTTGCTGCAGCAGTAAGGGTAAAATGGTGTTCAATATACTAAATTATTTGTCTTTTTTAAGCTCTACAAAATAATTTGAAAATCAATTGTGAAATTTTGTGTTTTTAGGGGGAAATGGGGAAAAACCTATTTGTACACCCTTAAACACCCCCCCCCCCCAAAAAACCCTCGTTCCCATAGTTCGATCATGCTTGTTCGTGAACTCGTTCGAATAAATGTAGGTTCACACGTTCATTCCAATTTTCATCAAAATCGGATAACTTCTGCTCGAGTTATCGTGCTAACGGACACATATGAATCTGAACAGATGGTGTCTTTGGCCTCTAGGGACCTCAAAAAGAAAAAGTAAATCGGTCCCGGGTCCAGTTCTTACCATGAGTACTACGGTAATAGCTTATTCCCTATATGGGAAATTCGTGAATAAAAAGTGGTACAGTGATTATCACCAGTAGCACAATGATCACCAGATTGCCAGATGTGCATTGGGAGTACTACAGGTAGTAAGTAGTACAACGTTACTACTAGCAGTAGTATGTAGAGGTGTATAGTCAATGGTATTACACTCGACTGGTCGGCCTTGTCGCATGCATACCTTCACAACACCAGCACCTCACACCACGCCGCCTCCATTTGAACGTCCCTGCGATCTTTATTACTGATGCGCCGGGCTGAATAACAAACAACAATCCTCGGTTTTGGACTTCTCTCTTGTACAAGATGCCAATATCCCCTCACTGTTTGTAAGGCAACTGAGTATGAGCTTAAATATTTAATTTGAGAAAAGTAACATAGTTTCCGTCAAACATAGTAAAAGAAAAGATTTCCTCGATTAATACAGTTTCGTCTAATGTTTCTCTACTTAAAGTGAGTAGATCATTGTTAGATTTAATTACGTTACAAATTAAACTTTTTTTTATTTTTCTATCTTTTGGTAGTTGTGCCTTTGCCTTTTTTGTGATATTTTGCTTGTATGTTATTTTGTCTATGAATCACTTAATTATAATTTTGTATACCTTATGGTTTAGAATTAATAAACAAATTATTATTGTACGGTTTTGACCTGGGATACGTGAGTGAGATAATGTTTACCATTTGTTTCGATGAAAATTTGAAAAACTTAGCCAAATAGAACGATTCATTTCCTGACCAGCACAGTGCATTATTAGTATTAGTTGTATATAGATGATTATTATCCCTTGGGCCAATTATTTGTGAAGGCTATCACCGCAACTCCAGCTTTTCTTTGATATGTCAATGTTAGGCGTTTAATTAAAACTCGGTCGAAGTAATTGAAACACGCGTTTGATTACTTAAACACCCCACATTAGCAACGGTGTACTTATAATTCGCAAGCTTGGTAGATAGGTATTGAAAAAGCTTGGCTGCAATGTGTAGTTAAAATCGCATTTGATGCAATTAAAAATCGAGCAAACACCTATTCGAACATTTAAAAGTGTTTCTGTAAGGCAATCATTAAACAATTATTAACGAACTAATTGATCAAAGAACAGAATTATATTCATTCTATTTTTTTAATTTCTGAATCTGAATGTGATTGCAGATAACAGAATTACTTGAACTTTATTTCAAGTTTAAAAATGAAGTAATACTTTTAAATGAAGTAATACTTTTAATGTTAAGACCAAAATTTCAAGTGTCATACACGCATTAATGAACATGAAACACTTCTAGGGTATCTTATTTGTTAAAAACTATTACAAGCCAAACATAATTAAGACAATTAAAATCCTACATTTTGAGACAATTTTTAAATTGAGGTTTTGGTTTACTGTTGCCTATTTTTTAATACATTACATTATAAGTATTCCATACCCAAAAGTTTTTACTAAATGATCATTGCACCGTTATTAGCCAATGACCCGTCTTATCTGCAATCAAACGGAATAACTCAAACAAAAGTCTGATTAACTTAGTTACAATCACGTTGTGCAACAAAGCAAGATGATTCCCATTGAAATACAATACTCAGTGAGTAGGCACATTGTTGCAATAGATACCTACTTGATCACAGGTGAGATAAGCATGCGTCGACACGTTTATTATTTCAGTGATATTCTTTGGTCCGTGTACGTCCTTGATACAGGTGTTGTTAGTAGTCGACTTTTTTTCTTTATCTGGTTTAGTTTTGGAGGCCAAAAAATATTATAGTCATAGCCATTGAGGATGTTGGAGGGTTGTTGGAAATTGAGCTTGAAAACTGTTGTAAAAAAATCTAAATAAAAAAAATTGTTAAGATGTATTATATGACAAATAAGGGCTACACGCACCTCGTCAGACAATCCTTGACATGCAGTATAAAATGTACTACATATGTTTCTGCTTTTTTAAATATCACCACCATCGTTAGGCTAACAAAAGGATCCACTTTATATGTCGTCAGAAAAAAAAATAAAACACACTTTTTCCACAAAACATAAAAACTATAATGATAGGCCTATCAATTACACGCATTGCCGTGGACATGGCAGGAAGCAGACTGAATGCTATGTTGTGATGGACTGACTGGACTCTGGGTTGTCGTATGCGTTACCAACAGCTGATACTGGTCTACTGTAATGAGATTCGCAATTGAGTTTTTCATTCAAAATTTGTGTGCTGTCCTTGGTTTTTATGTCATTATATATTTCAAATTCTTCCAGATTATTTATGAAACTGTATCTTCTCTTGTCGAAGGTACCGTTGAACGGCCCGAAAGTGGGGGACGGTGTCTACTCTGATGCGTAAGGTCTTGCACATGCAGACCGCGTTTAAGTATGAATTAGGATTTAATAACAATCGATCTTCAGTTGAATTTTTAACCACAGTCAGATAATAAAAAGAGACGAATCACTTTATGGAAGTGAATTTTAAATAGCCAAGGCAACTTTAGTGATGGATGTGACCTCATTAAAGGAAGGTAAATGACTCCTTATGGTAATAAGCAAAGTAAATTGATTGTACATTAGTAGATTTATTAGTGGTAGTTTATAGTAGCAATGGTTTTATCAGTAGTCTTATTAGTTTTAGTCACATAATTACTATCTTAAGAAACAAAATCTTAAGTTTAGAGTATTGAATTATTCGTTTTGAATCAGAATATTGTTTTGAACTCTATTAAAATGCTCAATTTGTGCACGGGTCCCCCAATGAAATTTAAACGTGAAGTGATCAGCTCACATAACTAATATGTAAATGCTAGGACGAAAGGAGTGTAATCGACATTAAGATTAAACGAAAGTGCTATTTACTCGAGATCAATATCCGTAAGGTTAAGGTGATTGGAACTGTTATTTAAGCTTCAACTTAAGGGCCTTCGCTCGAAGGCTCTTTGAAAACAAATAACAGTTTTATATTTTAAGGTAGAATGTATATAAGTAAAATAAATGAAATCAACTTATACGTAACGGGATTAAGTAGCTATTTTTAGTTATTCATTTGATTAATAGTTCTTTCGTATTATTATAGATTTGTTCTATTCCTTCATTCATCCATCCGAGTTTGACCATTCATCTAAGATCAATATTTAGTATAAATATTTATAAGGAACAACAACGAGTATTTTACATGGATAAAAAATTATCAACTTTTTAACAATGAGAATAATAAAAGGATGATCTAGCCAAGAAAATATATTATGGGTAATAGGAACATTGTAAATAAATTTCAAGTTGCCGAAAATATTAGTTTTTAGTATTTATAATATTTAAGTACATGATAATTCACCCAAATGTATTTTCATAGGCAGACTTTACCGGGACAAAAACACTGAACAACAACAGCTACAACTACAGATAGGCTAACATGAGTTGTTATAAGTTGACGTATACGAATTGAGCCAAACTGAACATATGAAAAAATAACATGAATTCAGCATATCGTTTAAATGATTCAGTAGCCTAGTTATTTTATACAGAATGTTTCAATAAGCTCAAGAAAAATAGAATTAAAAGGCGGAATAGGTTAGACTAAAAACTCAAGGAACTTATTTGGAAATGTGTTTATTTTGGTTTAATGTGTGTACTGGAGTGTCCAGCTTTAGTTTAACCTCCAAGCGACAGAGAGATTACTTGAAATTAAATTTATAATTCATTATTATTATATTTATTTGTGTCTAAAACAAACAAGAAATTTCAAAAAATAAATCAGTTTTAAATAACAAGACAATTTAGTAAAATTCTCCAAATGTATACTCCCTAACTTAACTAGGTCTCACTCTTCTTACGTGTAAGCACAGAATTAATTATTGTAGTGGTCACTATTAACATGAAAACAAAACGGTTCAACTACGTTCGCCCTTAGAGGCCAGTCGGGTTTCTATATTTTCACTATAGCTAAAAAGACAGTAGTAATTGTAGTTGGTAAATTTACAAATTTAAACTAAACATAATTTCACGATTTTTTTGAACACTTCAACTGAACAAACAACAACATGTAACATGATATATCTTTAAGTACCCCGCCAAGTTCTTTAGAAAACTATAATCTCTAAGCCCAAACTTCTTAGCGAATAGTAGACAACCCTTAGCCTTTGTCGGCGCCCCAAAGAGCTGAATCATTGACCAGTTCGTTGGAAAGAGTCGGTCCGATTCCCCCGACTGGTCCGACTCACAAAGCTGAAGCGATTGGAGCCGCAGTTGATTGTCAGTTTAGTTGTGCGCGATGGCGGTGCAGCAATGGATGTGCGCACTCATCGTGTTGTTGATGCTAGGTGAGTGTTGCGTATTTTTGGCAACTCATAAAAAATAAATTTCATACTATTAACACATTATTAACTTAATAATGATTATAGTTTAATTTATTTATCCTTCACCGACTGTTTATTAGTATTTTTCATAATTTCCCTTTGAATTGTATGCTATTATACATTGTAATTTTACATATTAAGTCTTTAACATTATATCAATTTAGTGCTCGTTATTTTACAAAATTATATTACAAATATTTGATATATTTATAGTACCCAAAAATTGAGTCAAATTTTTTGTTATAAAACACGTTTGTGATTTTATTAAAATAAGGACTTATTAGATGAATAACGGTCATTCTTAAAAATAAACAATGTTTTTGTTTATCTATATTAAAAGAGTAAAAAAAAAACTTTGGACGTACATTTCGAATAGAGCCTTAATGATTATGTTAATACATTTGTAGATTTTTCGATCCTTACGAATAAATATATGTGTAGATTATAACACGTTATCAATGAAGAGCTTTTTTTTTATAAAAAGGTAATTATATGTCAAGGATTAAATCGAATACGATAGAGTTACTTCATTTGTTACTGGAAATATTGTTTTCGAACTGTTTTTACAAAGATTGGTAAGTACATCATTCGTTTACAGTGGTGCTTAATGTTAATCTTTTACATCCAAACATTTGAAACAATGTAAAAAATATTTACACAATATATTTTTAAGACGTTGTAAATAATGAGTAAAAGTAACACTGCAAACCTTCAATTGACAATAATTGATCACAGCATGTCGTGTACTTAAATATTTCATTTTAAATCTTTTGAAAAAAAAAATATTTTCTAAAGCTTTTGAAAGATGTGCACACCATATCCATTTCCTCGGATTATTTAGACGTAAAAGAGTAAAATCTGAATTAATCTTTTTTGAAGCTAACTAAGCTGAATTTAGCATTATTTCATGGACAGATCTCTCTTGAATAGCGCATCTTCGTTGCTCTTCCAGAAAAGGATTTAAGGATTAGACCGGTCCCCTAAAAAGGATGAATTATATCTGTCTACACCTTACTGAATCCAAAATTATATGGCTAAAGATTTACAAATTAATTTTCTCAGTATTTTTACCGGAATCAAAGTATTGAACTGGCTTTGGTAAATTTTCAGGTAAAAATACAGAAGTATTAGTTTCTCACTTGTTTCTCCTTCCAACTTAAGCTTCTCCAACCATATTCGCATAAAGCTACTTTAAAACTTATGGCAATTCAGATTTATAGCAATACATAGCTTAATTATTACAACATTGTGCATACATTATGTCATCTTATAAATAAAACTAGATCATAGAGAAGTAAGATACTTCTCTGTGACTAGAATGGAACAAATAATGTTAAACATAGTGTTTCTTATTCTAGGATTTATTTTAATCGTCTGTTGTGAAAGTACAAAATGGCAAACATTAAAAATGTAATAAAATGTAAAAGAAACAAAGCAAAGTAAAAAGCCACCTACCTTTTGGTGGCCACGTCTTGAATAAATAAATTGTTGAGAATTCAAACCTAAGCATCTTAAACAGTTCGTTTTAGCCCTGTAGAGTACAAAAAAAGAAAAAAAGAAACAGCTTTCAAATTTCATTAACATTTTATTTTCATAATTTCTTGCAACTATTATCGTCAAGCAAATTACGCAGGCTGGCAACATTTAAAAAAAACTGCGTACTAGTTTTCATAGCACATCAGATCATGTCTAGCAAATTAGTAATTCATGATAAATGATTAGCGAAAATTATACACAGTTATTAATGCAGGCGGGCGCCAGATGATGGCAAATAAGTAGCCGGCTTGGCCTAATTGGGTCATTACCTAAAAGATATATCGAACGATTTATTATTTAAATAATGTAATCGCAGCAATTATTGACACACTTTCATAACGCAGGCCAGAAGAAAGTCATTAGTTAAGCAGTATGCTAAATTGTATGCCGAGAATATAATAGATGTCTTTATTTTGTATCTTCGTGTTTTTATATTTAAGACAATCGATGCATGATTATTTTATGAAAATGGTTCTTACTAGAACTTTTAAAACTTAAACTTCTTTTAAACACCTTATATCCATAATTTTAAAATCATTTTCCGAACAATGTGAAGCCTAAGATAGCTAAAGAGTTATTAGGGGAAAACTGTCAAAGTCGCATATATAATTATTTATGTGGTTTCTTTTACAATACGGAGCCCTTACTTCGTCGCTTTGTTGTGGATAGACTTTCTTTTAACTAGCAAGTGCTTGCCTTGAAATATGAAGGTTATTGATTCTATACTGATAAGTATCAATTCCGGACCTAGTTCCCATTTGGCATCGAGTTTATGATTAATGATGTTTCTGCCAATAGGTTGACACTAGATAAGAAACCTCAACTACGGTAAAAATTGTACTTCTCGCGCTATTAAAAAATCTGAATACACTTTTGATATGCGGTTCATGTTTGGTATGTTTGAATGTTTGTTTTACCTTGATGTCAGCTAAATGTTCTCTGTTATGTTAGTTAAGGCACATTTTATAACGTTTTCGTTTAAATTTCAGAAGGAAATTAATGGTTACAAACAGTTAGGAAATAAGGGGTTTAAAGTCGTTAATATGTTTGTATGTTTTAATAACAATAACAAAAACACTCTTCATATCAATAGAGAGAAAGATACTTTAAAATGGTCTTCAGCAACCCAAAAAGATGATTAATCATTAGGGAATCACCTGAAATCTATGATGCAAGTAGATTTTATATTACATGTGATTCGTGTTGGTTACGTTTGAGACCACTGGTGTATAATATATTCTGCGGTCTTATGTTAGAATAGATTTTCCAGCACGTTATGTTTAGTTTAAGGTTAGTTTTGTAGTTGAATAAGAAACGGGTTGAATAACAAGAAAAAATACGCCCTAGCAACCGGAAACGTTATTTAAACTGTCTCCGCTAACTCATAATCATGATGGTTATGAAAAAATATAAATTTAATCTATGTAAAAAGGCATTGGCTTGAACAGTTTACTCACAAAACAACGCTAAACAAAAACCAATTATATGTGGCGTAGAAAAAAAGGTAAAACGACAAATAATTGCCAACTTGTTCCGCAACTTGATCCGATTCTACTTGTGATCTCTTTGTAGTTGCTGTCGCCACACGGGTTGTTCAAGTAGAATTACGACTCAGCTCTCAGCTGCCAGAACAAGGACTAGACTGAGTCAATGCTTACATCTGTGCGTGTTTACGTTACAGTGTTAGTGTACCCTACTTGAGTCGCACTCCTATATACAACGCAGTGCAATAATAACACAGGTGGAGCACGTCGTAACTTGTGTGTATTTATAACACGTCTTCATGCATACGTATAGAACACGTCTTTGAATGTAAAGATATCTCGAAATGTCTAAAACCATTGTAAGCTAGTAGCTTTAAACGTGCTTTGCAGCAGGGTTTTCGCATGGTTTTGTCAAACTTGGCCTTTAGAAATTGAAAATTTCTAGTGTTATCAATAACTATGTGCTGAGGCCTTGTAAGAATCGCATTATAGTTAAAAAGTAGTCGGTTCGATCCTGAGAACCATAGATGTGTTGAGGTTTTAGCTGGACCCAGGCCTTGCTCATTGGACTGTTCTTGGCTGGTCTTCTTCGGTAACAAAGTTGCAAAGGATTTCTCACTCCGTCATTCATTCATCTATTACTATCAAATTAATATTGATTTGCGTATTATTCTGTTCTGGCATCTATGTATAAAACTAGTAACAATAAATTTGAGTTTCTTATAATTATTTTAAGGGTAAAATACTATTTTACCTGGATTTGCCACACATTTGTATACAGTATTATTTTTAGAGTAAATAAGATTAATGAAAATAGGAAAAAGCTAATTCAACCCTTGTAATCTGTTTTCGAGCATCCCTAAGATATTTCAAGATTAAATATTAAACATTCCCAGCGAATATTACAGAAGTTCTCAAAGTTTTACAGTGATCATAAGAACAAATGTAGGTTATAAAGAACAAGAAAGTTCATTTAGGAATTAATTGTTTAATGAGCCAGTATATCCGGTGTTTGCAAGACATAGCCTATAACTATTTGTTATAACGATTTTTAAGTTGAGAAAATAAATTTAAGACCACACAAATACGTATCTCATAGCCGAAAAATTAAACAAAGTAATTGTTGTCCTATGAGATATATTTATCTCATAACATTTAAGATTATTTCCATACAATTCATTGGTGTATGACCGGTCGAGTACTTTGATCACTATGGTCCTCCAAGTTGTGAATGAAACTTCTGTTATTTATAACCACATCACTAATATAGGATAAAAACTTTGGTTTTGAAATGTTGAACACCGATAATTGGCGTTAGGCGGCGTGCGATCTCCAAAAAGAAGAATGATTAACAGTTGCGAGATATCACCTCTAGTCAAACAAGCATTGCCCTCGTGTTAGTTTTATGTGTTTGTGTTTATAGTTGATGAGTGTTGTACGATCACACAAAATAGTCTGGTACGAGATAACAAATTTCTTTGAGTAGCAATGCTAACTTTTGCATTAGAAGTAAGAAAACTACGGATGGTACAACACGCTATCTATTTATAATTAATTATTGTATAAATAAAGCTATTGTTATTTTTCGAATTTTAGCTTGTCACTTTGTTGCTGATAAAATTATGTAAACGAATCTACATCATCAACTGTAGTCAAATTGAAGGTATTTTAGTTTTGTATACGAGCTAGAAATAGACTTTGATTAAGTGTTGTTTAGAAGCCAAATGCGTATCGCATATGGAACTTATTTACGGACGTTAAAACGTCTTTCTGCACTTGTCAAAATAATAGCTTTATTTGAAGCATGGTAGTTCTTTCATCCGGAAGAATGTCACTGTCTTTCAGTTATTTCTATAGGCAATTAACGTAACGTACACGTTTTTAAAGTGTCAATCCACGTTTTCATAAAACTATAAGTATGTTATTTTTACTTTAGAAATCAAC